GCTTGTCGAGCGCCAGACATTCCTGCTCAGAAACAGGGCACCTCAAGGGCTGCTTTTAATCTTCCCTGATGCAGATTAAATCTAGCGCTTCTAATCCCCTTGTTGCACAGTGTGGCTGTAATGGCTGTGAATCCCGTGCAAGGATCAGGGCCTCAACGCTCTAGGTGCCGAACAAAAAAGACGTACACGGGACACTACACTCTATGCTCATGAGCATACAAACCCTACACACAGCCCAACCAACCTCACAGCTGTATAAACCTGCAAACTTCAGATCCCTTTTCTCGCGGTTCTCTGCACACAGAGACCCTTGACAGCAGACCTGCACAACGAGCGTCGCACAACGAGCGTCGCACAACGAGGTGAGGCTTTAGAGGGACTTCCCGAGTCATTGACTCTGCTTTCACAAGCAAAAAGGAGCTCCTTATGGGCAAGTATTTCGTATTTAATGAATACTTTTCCAGTTTATGATCTATTACTGGGTTAAGATGCTGTTTTACACAATAGATCCCCTTTAATATGATTTCCAGCTGCTTGTGGCTTGATTGAACCTTGAACAACTTCTGCTTAGAAGCACTTTCACAAACATTCTCACACATAAACCAAACATCTAGCATACAGTTTGCAAATACAGATGCACTTTGGACACCACCGGCCACTGCATGCGTGCCTGCCAGGGAGCCGTGCCCCCTTCCAGTCGATGGGCACTTGTGCAGGAGTCACCTCTAAGACCGAGACATCAGATGAATCACGTTAAAAGTGCCTATTTCCCTCTGGTCACTACAGAGGGTTCCTGGGCACCTTACTTGGGTGGAAATTTCTGCATTGTTAACCTGTAAGGCTGGAAGAGGTGAATCCCATCCTGCATGTGCTACCGATCATTTTTACCTTCAGAAGAAAATTCACTGGTTACTTCTACTCTAGCAAGTCCGTGGGTCGGTGCTGCGGTGAGCCCAGGCACCGAAGCAGTCAGCTCTGCTCCCTTTCTACCACGTACATTAACAGAACTGCAACGTATGAGCAGCTAATTAATGCCTGCATTCGCTCCCAAGGCTGCAGCTCAGCATCTGCTCGGCCCAGGCTCTAGTTCATCTTCAGAGTTACGGGAGCTTTCCGCCTGCAGATTTCATGGCAGGACAGCGGCGTTATCAACATGATGTATAAGTACACGCCAGGGCAGTCCATTAAACACCCACTCTTTTTTTTTTAAGATTCTCTGTCCTAGTTTGTTTTTCAGATGAATCAAACACATTTGATTATCCCTAGCTATCTACTACTCTCAGACCACTCTCAAGTGGGACTACAGGTACCAGCCGCTCTCATACAAACACAAATGTGAGGCACGTATGCACAGCAGTTCTGCGGCTTTGTCTTTTAAAAAGTACATTTTGAATACTAACCCTTGCGTTTTTCAACTAATTTTTACATTCTTGCTGGGATTGTGCTGCTCTCAGCTGCAGCTTGAAGCAGAACCTACTTTCTCTTCACTTATTTTGCGTGTTAAACGTACAGTCCGTTTTGGCATCACCATGACTATCAAACGATGCCTTGGGGTTACTTAAAAGGAGCGCCTGCCACACAGCACACCGCCTTTCTCTCGGCCCCCTCGCCTCCTGCCCCTCAGCTTCTCTACGTAAGTGGTAACGCGCTCGCCCCAGCTCCAGCCTGCGCAGCCCTCGCCAACGCCGTGGCGTGGCCACACCACGCCGATGAAACCCACCGACACACAAAATCACGGGAAGCAAATGAGACCCCCATGCTGTCATTGTGCCACCAGCCCTTGTTCACTCTGCCTCGTCCTCCCATCTCCCTCCTCCAGCATATTTTTGGTTTTAGCTGCACTGCAAACCATTTGGGACAGGGTCTAAAGATCCCAACATAGCCCATAGACGCGTGCCTGTTCCAGGCCCTGTCCTGGTTTTCCTTAGAAAAAACCCCAGTTAGCTGCTCCACCGTCTCAGTTTGCTACAGCTCATGGTTTTACTCTCAACCCATGCGTTCAGCACACCACACCCCAGCCCAGCCGCTATGTTCTGACAGAAAACCACCCACCAACCCTCATTTGCCAGCACGGAGGGTGGGAGAAACTCCCCTGTCCCTGGCAGTGCCGTGAAGAGACTGAGAGCAGGGGGCCTCTGGAGGTCTCCAGTCCAACCTTCTGCTCAGAGCAGGACCAGTGCCAGCGTTAGAACAGGTTTCTCAGGACATGTGCAGCCTTCAAAGGAGAAATCACATTAAACATCCCCTCTTCGAAGACTTTTAGTTACAAGCCAGTAGAGAGGGCTGAGTCTTTCTTTCCTCCTGGTTCCCATGCAAGCATGAAAGCTCCACGGGGACAACCTTTCCTCTTTAGGAAGGGATTTCCCCCCATTTTGCCTTACCTACAGATTTTGTCCGTGGAATTCCTTTGCGCAGTGAAACATGGGGCTTCTCAGCTCCCGCAAGGACCCCCGAGTGTGCTGCCATACCCTGGCGTTCAAAGAGTGACTGGAAGAGAAAAAAGGAAATTTCCATTCTGGACGTCAGCGAGGCTCAGCTGGAAGGACACACCACTTCATCGCAGGCCACCTGATCCTTCTGACCGCGGCCGAGGCTGGGGCTCTACCCCCACCTCAGCCTGCAGGCCAGACCCCGGCCCTGCCGCCCTGGCCCTGGCCCTGCCACCGGGACTGCCGCAGCCCCGGGAGGGGAGGCTTCCCTGGGGACAGGGACGGACCCCTTCCTCACCTCTGCCTTCAGCAGTCCATCTTCCGTGCTGCCCCATCCAGCGTGTCTCCAAACCCTCTGAAGGGTTAACCCTCCCTCCCTCCCTCTCTCCAGTTTGCCTGCTCCTCCCTGCCTGCTCCCCCCTGCCTGCCCTCTCTCCCTTGCCTGCCTGTTCCCCCTGCCTGCTTGCTCTCTCCTCCCTGCCTGCTCCCCCCTGCCGGCTCTCTGGCACTTTGTGCCCAGGGTGGGGTGGCACAGCGATGCCGACTCCGGCAGCAGCAGCCTTCCTCCCGTGGGAAGGCTTCGCTCAGGCCAGTCTCTGCTCAGAAGCAGCCTGTCCCATTTTACCTCCCGCTCCAGAAGCTGCCTCCCACCGCCTGCAGCACTTTCACAATCCAGACAGCCTGGAGCTGGCAGCCCCCCTCCTACTCCATCCATGCTTCCCCTCAGAGACGGCATTTTTCTCTTCTTTGATTCCTCCTAATTTCCAGCTTCACATCCAGAAAATTGCAGCCAGACTAAGCTCTCCAGCTCAGCTTTCCACACTCCTTCAGATCAGCTCTTTCATCCTCCCTGTGGCAATCCCGTACCGGCAAGCGAGTGCCAAACAGCCCAGGTCAGCTCCTCCACCACCTGCCCGGCCTCCTGCTCTGTGTCTCCATCTCCCCCCAGACTCTCTCCTTCCACTCCCCTGGGGAAACCCGCTGCCCAACGCGAGCCTTGGGGCTGGCAGCCAGCGCCTGTCACAGCACCACGCGCCCTTCCCTCTCCCACCGCGAGCCCTCCTCTCTCACACTGATTTCTGCTGGCGTGATGCGCCGGCTTGTTGGTCGCTGCTTCACAGTGGCTGCCCTAGAATCTGCTTCGACAATGTCTGCTCTCAGCGCGGGCTCGGCTGCTGCCAAAATCTCATCCAGTTTCTCTGAAAATCCAAACATAAAAGCAAACAGGTTAGCAAGGGCCGCCGTACTGAGGCAGCTCCCCTACGACAGGCCCGTCCCCTGCAGTGCGGCTAAGCAGGGAGCGAACGTCCCCGCGGGGAGAGCAGCTCGTAGGCCCGTTGAGCACGGAGTTGAGGAAGCGGCCGCTCAGTCATCTCCTCCCCAGCCAGCGGCTAACGAAGATTTTGGAGGTGTTTCTGGAGCTGCCCACCCGCCACGATGCACAACCAGGCACTGGCTTGGCTCAGCTGGGGGACCTGCAGACGACAGCCCGGTGCAGCGGCACCGCGCCGTGCTGCTCTCCCACCCCGGCTGCACCAGGCCCATCCGTGCCGCCCGGGAACCCCTGACCAGCCTGCCTGACCTTCGGGGTCTGACCTGCCAGCTCCCGAGGCGGGGGGCCTGCTCCCAGCTGCGCTGTGCTTTGAGGAAGCTTCAATCCTTACATTAAAAGCAAATTTTTGCCCAGGTATATTTTTGATAGTCAGAATGAGACCAAGACCCACCCCCTGCTGAGTCCCCATCCTGAAGGTATTTAAAAAATGGGTAGATGTGGCACTTAGGACCATGGTTTAGTGGTGGACTTGGCAGTGTTGGGTTAATGGTTGGACTCGATGATCTTAAAGGTCTTTTTTCCAACCTAAACGATTCTGTGATTCTCACTGGGCGAAGCGGGGTGTGGGCAGTGGCTGCGCTGCGGCAGGTAAGGGGAACCTAGGTGCCGCCGGGACCACAAGTGACGTAGAAGTCCACGGGACTCCACGGGACTCAGTCTGTCTCCAGCACAACCAGTGTCACTCCAGTGTCTGTTTGGGACAAACTGGGACGTTTCCTCCCCGAGTGGACTCATGTGCCCCAACAGCCCTGACGGGAGTCACCGGGCCCCCACGTACCCCTGTGTCCGTGGGCCCAGGAGCCCTGGTAAGCGTAGGCCGGTGGCGTCAGTGCCCGCCCGGGCTGTGGTGCAGCAGCACCATCTGCAGAGCTGGCACAGCCATGCCCGTGCCACCATGGTGACCCCCACACCAACTCCCGGGCTTGACCTCAGCCCTGCCTCGCCACCGCGGGCCTGCCTGCAGATCTCTGGGCTACGCTCGACCTTGGTTAGCCTCACCAGGGCAGATCCTGGGCCGGCTCCCGGCCTGACCTCAGCCCTGCCTCATCACTACAGACCTGCCTGACGGGCTGGACTCACGGTTGAAGGTGGCAGACCTCCGTCTGCCCTGCCCATGGTGCTCAGGGCAGTGGGGCCTGTCAGGTCCCCAGCCGTGCGACCATGTCTGTCCTTTGGGGAGCGGCCAGCGCTCGCTGCTCCCCCAGCCTGCAGAGCAGCCCCGCTCTGCAGCGCTCACACCACTCGTGCCAGGAGGATGCACCCACTCGGACACGGCACCAGCCCCGGCTGCCGCTGGGGTTTTGTCTGGGGCCATAAAACAGCCTGAAACTCAGGACATCGGAAAGGGCAGCAGGCAGATGCTGGCCCCCGTCACCACTGACCCCTCCTGAGCTCCCCCCATGTGGAGCCTGACAGGGTCCAGCAGAGCCCAGCTAACGAAAGCTGCTGGGCTGGTGCTCAGCCTGGGCAGGGCCCGTTCAGGTGTGGCTGCTCCCTGCTCCTATGGCTCCCTGGGCTGGGCAGGGTTGAGTCTGTGGGCTCCATGTCATAAATGGTGTCAGCTGGCACGGGAGCGCGGCCATCACGCTGGCATGGGGCTGTGCTGCAGCGGATGGGTCTGCCTTGGCATTCATCAAGAGTGGATGCTTCTACCTCCATGGCACAACCAATCCACTGTCCCAGTAAATTGCCCAGGGAGAGGGGAGAACACGTGCAGCGCTCATCCCATAAGGCTGACAAGCTCTCTTGTGTTCAGGTGAAGCTTGTGGACTTCTGGGCTCTTTCCAGCCTGGCTGTTGAACTTGGGACTGCGAAATGTCACTGCTGTGGTGTGGGAGCTGCTGATCTTTGTGACCCGAGCGACCTGGAGCACTCTGACCATCAATCAGGCCCATATTCCTACAAAACCCTGCCTGGGGCGGATATGAGTCAGGGGCCAGCTTCAGTACCGCCGCACACTGTGGCCACGGCAGTCGTCCACGTGGCAGTTTGTAAGCCAGCGTTCCTGAGTTACAGAAACATTTAAAAATGAGTCCCAAACATTTCAGAAGCCCAGTCCATGAAGCAGCAAGCCCTGCACCAACACAGACCCCAAGTGGTCTTTGCCAAGGGGACTCAGGTGTCCTCTGAGGCCAGCACCCTTGGTGGCAGGTCCTGGGACTAAGGCCACAAGGCCCTGGGACTAAGGACCTGCACCTGCCCCAAGGAAACAGCGCAGGCCAGCTCCTGAACTTCCTCGGCACAAGACCTCCAGTAGCCAACCATCCTTGTCTCTGGGGGACTTCATGGTTCCTCTTCCTCACTGCCATGTGACTCACACACTGCGCTCACCGCAAGAGGCGCGGGGCGGGTCAGCCTGCTCAGAGGGGAGCTGGCTCATTCCTCGTGGCCAAACGCTGCTGAGTGACCGTGTGGATCTCTAACAGCCAAGCCTCAGGAGGGGACGGGCCACGGGCTGATTCTAAAGAAGACCTGCCTCATCAGTGTCTCTGGAAGCTGCTCTGGGCAGCCCTGTAGCGACGTTAGTTTGGAGACCCCAGAGCTGTGAGAGGAGTAACGGCAATGCTCAGCCCTCTCCACCTGCCTCTGCTTCTGGCTTTATTCCACTTTCCATCTCGTAATGCCATTAGAGCACAGGGAGACAAATCACCACAAACTGCACTGTGTATCTGCCATGCCTTTGCAGGAGATGGAAGAGCATCCTGGAGCGGACCCTGCCTCCAGGCTGCTGGGCCGGGGGATGAGGCAGTGCTGGAGCTGCCCTGAGAAGAGGGACTGCCCCTGGAATGGGAGCAGATGGCTCTGGCTGTCCAAAGTGTCAAGTGCTCTCCACCACACACTTGGAGATGGCTGTCTTCAATGTCAGGACATCCCTGGTGACCTTCAGCTGATCATTCTGATCCCTGGGACCTCTGCATTGCCTCCACCTCTGGGTACTGACAGATCTGCTCGGTACAGAGGCGGTCTGGGGAGGTCCCTCAGAGACCTCCCGCTTGTAAGCCCTGCTCAGCTTCTTTCCTATGTCATCACCATTACGGTGGAAGACTTAGCGCCTCACATTTCCTGTTCCTTGGGAAACAGTTCTCCAGCTTCACATTACCAGGACAGAGTTTTGCTTCTGAAAGGCTAAGAACTGTGGCCAGGTCTCCAGGCTCCCTCCCTCTACCCTGTGCCTGTGCTGGGGAAATGCAGACCTGTGTGCTGGCATGGGATGAGCCTTCTCGCTGCATTCAGGATTGTCCATTACTGGCTCTCAGCCCTGGCAGGAACCTGCTGTCCTTGTAGCATCTCTCATGCGAGGGCCACGCAGACACTGCGTGGTGCAACTGTCGTGTACGGGGCCCTGCTGCAACCAGCTTTGCCCCAGCCAGCTCGGGCACCGATATCATGGCCCTCATGGTGGGTGGCCCTCTCCACCCGGAGCTCAGCCAATTAATAACCAAACTAGCTCTGCCCCAGCTAACCTGGGTGTGCCCTCAGAGCTGCCACCAAACCCTGCCTGCAGTGCAGGTACCTCCTCAGGTGCTTCCTTGGCACGGGACCGCCGGGAGCAGCAGAACAGCCTGCACGGGGCAGAAGCAGAGGCAGCACCTGCACTGCTGGACACGGCAGCGAGCGTGGCTGCCATTTCATCTGATGAGCTCCAAAGGTCTGACCCGGGGGCTGAAGGAGACTGTACTTTAGGACCCCAGATGCGGGGGACATTCCTGTGGAAGGCATTTTCACCGTGGAGCAAACACAAAGCAAGTACAACCTTCGGGAAAGGCAGACCTGGGGATTCATGGGGCCCAGCTGGCACACGGGCATTCGCCGATTCCGGCCTTTCTGCTGCCTCGCCAGAGCTGCACGTGGTGCCTGCTCCCGTGGCGGCGGTGCCGGGCGGGAGGCTGACCTGCAGAGCCCTGGCTCCCTTTGGGCTGAGCCTTCCCGTGACAACTAGGGGACGGTGACCCGGGCCAGTCCCTCGGGGTGCACCGTGCGTGCCTGTGTGGTGCGACTGGGTGCTGGCTGGGAGGCTGACGGGGAAGGGAGGAGCCCCAGGATGTGCGGTTTCACTCACCCCCTTTTCTTCTCCGCATGGAGGCTTGGAATCAAGAAACAAAAGACAACATGAATGGCATGCACAGTTCCTGCTTTCATTCCCAGCTCCAGCCTCGCTGCCTGCCTGCTGTGCCTCTTCCCCGCACGCTCTCCTGCCTCCCAGCATGCTGACAGGATCAGGCCCTGACAGTGGAGCGTGTGCCTGCCTCGCCGGGCGCTCTCGGGACGAAGGCTCAGGCAGGGCAGGGGGTGCAGCACCTTGTGCACCCTCCTCGGCACTGCTGCCCCTCCGTGGGAAGGCCAGCGCCCATCCTGGCCCCGCGGGCGGGCAGGCACCAACAGAGGCCGGCTCCCGCCAGCCCCACCGCTGGGACCAGCCCTCCGCTGAGCCCTCCTCCTCTTCACTCAGACCAGGAAAGCAGAGGGAAGGTGCGATGTAAGACCAGGAGGAGGTCTGGATGGCATTTAATGCCCGAGCCATGGAGAAACTCTTTTAAAAGCTTTTAATCCCTCCCTGCTCACTGAGAAGACCCAGCAGCCTGCATGACTCCCAAAGCCAGTTTCCTCTGCATCCAGTAACCGCCAGGACTGCAGGGCAGGAGTGCTTTGTTAGCAGCTTGCTGGGAATCTGCTTTTCCAAGGGGACTGGCACAACATGCAGCAAGAAAATGTTAAGGTATGGCTATGGGCATGTGGGGTGTTCTGCAGGACAGGGACAGGCTCCAAGGGAAAAGGGGCAGGGACCATGCGACAAGGCTCCCTTTAAGAAGCTGCAGGTAGAAACGTCCCTTTCACTACCACCACTGTCCCCCCAGAAAAGGAGACCGGGCTCTGAACTGGCACACGGCTGAGGCGCAGGGATGCTGACCTGCACTAAAACTCCCCCTTCCCAGCAACAGCCGGAGGATCAACCACCAGAAGACAAAATGCGGGAGGAGGAACGGCCCCCCATTTTCCCTGTGCCGTGCTCCCTGGGGATGTGTGGTGGGACTGGCTACGGCACTCTCCCTGACCCACAGGACGTGAAGTAGGGACTAACTGCTACAGTTGCATGGAAAACATGTGGACTAAGACCCATCACCGGCTACAAATCCCTCTCCCGGGAGACACAGGCAGCTGCTGCTCCTAGTCCCTCTCCAGGTAGAAGAGAGGCAGCGTCTAGATGCAAACTCCTCAGGGAGACCTAGAGGACTTATCTTTAATATATTCTCTGGCAGAGCTATTTCTCTGCTTTTCGTGACTTCCCTTTCCACGAGCTTGCTCCCCTCCCCCTCGAGCCCAGCAGCTCTGCTTGTCAAAACACATGCACAACCCCCCTGCCCTGACACGCTGCGGCTTTCCCGGCGCAGGGCATCCCGTGGTGCTGTCCCACGCCCCACTTGGCACTTGCAAGGCCAAGCGCCGCGGTTGGGGTGCCCGTCCCTCTGCAAAGGCGCCTGCACGACGCGCACCAGGCTTTGACTCGGGCGTGATGGTCACCAAAGACGGGGACATGCAGCTGGGGAACACGTTCTCACGGAGGCAACATGCTGCCTGTGCGTGCAAGCAGGCACCCATCACACTGCCTAGGAACTGCTTTCAGGACCAGCAACCGAGAGGAAAAATATGAACCCTGGGATCTGTGCAGTATCTGTGCAAAGGGAAGAGCAAAAAGTGGAAGAAACGGGCTATTCTGAATCCTCTCCTAATGGCTAATAGCAAACATGGTGCCCTCAGGTTTAGTAATAAATGTCTGGAGAAGCGGGGAACAGGCTAGGGTGAAAATCAAGGCAGTGGGCTCAGCACAAAATAAATCACAGTGGCCATCAGCGAGTTGATGCAAACCCTTAAATGCTGAGATTTGTCCCTTCGAGCCTCTGTTTGTGAGCCCGAACCCTCAAGGTCTATTTCTTTCGGGAGAGCCCCGCGGGGCTGTAGAGCCTGGACATGCGTGTAGGACAATGGGCAGAGCAGAGCGAGAAAGGTCGCGGACCTTCCTTCAACACCCTGAAAAAGAGAGGGGCTGGCGTGGTCTCTGCCTAGGTTTCTGCCTCTCCGGTGGGTCTCCTCCCAGGCAGGACAGGGGTTTGCCACGTGCAGCCTCTGCACCATGGCCGGCAAGCACATCTGTACACATCGCCACATTTTTGCCCAGCAAAAATATAAATACAAATAAAAAACCAGCAGAAGCACGATCCACGGCAGTGGGCAGTGCCGAGAGCGGCTCCCTCTCGCTCTGCCGATGCTCTCGGGGGGGGCTCGCAGCACATCTGACTCCCGCCCTGTGCCAGGCCTGAACAGCCCGTCCTGGCAGGGCCAACCTCGTGTGCACCAGAGCTGCGTGTCGTAGTGCGGCTGCCCCGAAGGCTCCCCCAGAAGGAAGGGTCCCTCCGCACCTCCTCTGCCCGGCAGGCTGCGAGGGCTGCATGGCCACCGTTCTGCTAGCCAGCCTCCCCGGCACTGCCACCGCCAGCAGAGAGCCCTGCTCAGCTGCCCTGCGGCCTCTGCAGCGTGCGGGGGACAACGCGTGGCAAAATGGGCAAATCGCTCTGTGCAGAGAGAAGGGACTGCCATTTGGAGGGTGTGGGAACACCGGCACCCCTACGGCCCTCCGCTGGTAGGATGCTACTGGGGGGAGCCCAGCGCACCGGGAAGGTGTGGGCCGGAATAGATGGGAAGACTGAGGGGCTTCAGCACAGGGTACCTGGAAGCAAGGACGGGGTGGAGGTGGAGAGGCTTTAAGAGAATATAGGAAAACATGTAGATGCAAGCTGGGATACCAAAGCATCTGGAAACGTGGGTAGGCTCTGTAGTGACAGCAGAACGTGTGAGCGTGTGTGCTATGTATGTGTGTGTGTAAGGGGGGAGGGCAGCCCATGGGGATGCCAGCTAATCTGGCAGGGTGCAGTATCTGCCTGGAGGTAGAGGAAAATAAAAACAAGGGGCTGTTCGGAGTGCGGGAGAAGCAGGGTGCCTGACGGACGGGGCACGGGGGCGGCAAGCCTCTCCGCAAGCACACGGAGGCACCCAGCATCCTTCCCCCAGGCCGCCTCTCTGGGGAGGCGGCACCGGAGGGGTGGACCAGCCCTGCCGGGGGCTCCCGCGCCCCTGTGGCGGTGGCAGCGGGCTCTCAGCCCCCCGCGCCCCACACGCTGCTAAGCATGACGGAAACTTCAGCGCAGGAGGTGCGCGCGTCGCCTCGCGCTCGTGCTCATGCACCCCTCTGGAAAATGGACGTTGGGCGAGTGTGCTGCCTGCTCCGGCCACGGCCCCGCATGCTCCTCATGCGCCCCTGCATGCACACGCGAGCCCCTGCCGCCACTCACCCAGCTCTTCCAGCTCGGCTGTCATGGACTTGGAACGCAGCGTCAGGGTGGTGCTGGGCGCTCTCTTGGGAGGCGGCGGAGCTGAAAGGAAGAGAGACGGCATTTTGCATTTCTTGTCCAGGAACTTACGAGGAGTGGCCAGATGCAGATGCCACTTCTTCTCCACAGCCTGGATCTCCTCGTACTCGCGGGATGAGGAGTCGCACTGCTGCAGGATCTTATTGAGGCTGCGTGTGGAAGCAAACTTCTTCATGGTCTTGGTAGCACAGTCCCAGGGCACGGGGCAGGCCCCGGCGCGGAGGGGCTGGTGGCTCCCGCAGGCACGTGCAGGCTGCCCAGGCTCCCACAGCCCTCAGCAGAGGAGAGTCCAAGTCATGTCCCCGGGCTGCGCCTGCCCCCCTGCAGCTACCGGAGATGCTATGGCTATGAAAGCCTCTCGCGAATTAAATCTGTCTCAGGCAGCTGGCTGCCTGCCTGTGGGACTCAGCAAACAGCTTTGATGGCTGCTTCCCCTCCGCACACGCCATGGGTGGAGGGTAGGAGGGAGAAACAAGTCCAGCAGGCCTGATCTCAGTCTCTCATTCCCGCCTCGGCGCGGCGCATCCCCCAGCAAAACACAGCCCACCCACCCTCCTCTGCCGGCTCGGCCGTATCCAGGACGGGGTGAGGCTCCCGCGGCCCTAGTGAAGCGCTGGAGGCGGCCGGCTCCGCACCGGGCAGCGGAGGCACATGGCCGGCACGGGGCAGCGCGGTGCTGTGCCAGGGTGCGGGGCTGCCCCGAGGGGCTGCCTAGCCAGGCCGGCCCGCGGCGCTGCCCCGGAGGCGCTGCATGCCATGAGCCCACCAGAGCGGGGACGAGTTGAAGGCTCTTCCTCTTCACTTGGGGTGCCTCCTCCTCCTCACGCTTGCTCGCTGACAATGCTGGATTCAACGCTCAGGCATTGCCATGGCAACCGGAGCTTCAGGCTTTGCTGGCGCTGCCTGCATCAGAGACCCCAACAGGGGCGGATTCAGCCAGAAAACGCCAGACCCACACAGGCCTCCATTGCCCCCAGGAAGAGGCAAGCCCCAGCCGGGGGGGACGGGGTTTGGCTCCCCCCGGCCGTGCTGCAGCCAGGGTCCCACAGAGGGGACTCAGCTCCAGTCCCCGCACCCCGTGCTGGAAGAGC